GGTGGGGGGGGGGGGGGGGGGGGGGGTTAAGAAAAGTGGGGGCACCTTAAAAAGAAAGGGGGAAAAAATGGGTGGTGGGCTTGCAGTGCTGTGATATAGTGCAGCCTTAAAGCTCACACTCTGGTATTTATAGCAGCTCTGGAGATTTCCCTTGTAAAGCTACAGACCTCACCTGTTTAAAAAAAAAAATAAAAAAAATCCTGACTGTGAGGCTTGACATATAGGCTTTGCTGAGATAAAGAAAAATTGAAACTTTTGAACGTTGCATAAGAAAAAAAAAAATCCCAGGTCTTTAAGGCTTGTCAAAAAGGCCTCTCTGCCGCTACTGTACAGTAGAAATGATGGTTAAGTCGTGACAGTTAGCCTAGCAGAGCTAACTGAAATAGGCTACAATATTTATATCTGTATCTGCAGTGTTGGAGATGGGCAAGTTGTGTCAAACTCTGCATTTGTATTTGCAGTACTTTAGGCAGCTGGCTAGCTGTGAGATTTATGAATGAAGCAAAACGTATATAAGTTGAAGATAAAAATGTCCTTTGAAATCAGAAAGCTAAAGAAAAGAACTGTACGCCCAGTTACAATGACATTTCTTCCCATGCCGGCCCGTCATTAAAAATTATATTTTAAAGTAAAGGACTCATTAAAACCCACGCTGGGACTAGACCCCGGACACGCCTTATCTACCAGGGATATTTTCATATATATTCCAAATCACTGCCTTTAAATACATCGTCATCCATATAGGACGTTCAAGCAGTTCTTGCACTGTTGACCCCCTGCTTTAAAGCCAGGGTCGGTCTTTTTGTTTCTGGAACACTTTAAAGTCACACTTGAGGTTTTCTTTTTTTTGAAGTGTGCTTTTATGAGGCACTGATGCGGAGTAAAAGTCGACTGTGACTCCGAAGCCGGTCTTTAGCAACCCGCCTGGGACATTCGACACTTACACCGCGAGGAAAATGTTGCTCACAGGAAACGATTAAAATTCAAATCCTTTTTTTTTTTTTTTCAGCAACTTGACAAAAGGTCGATTGATATTTTTGATTAAATATAAATATAAATAATATTTAAAATATTTTTTGCATTTTTTTTTTGTCTTGTAAGATCAATCGGTCAGTACTACGACCAACATACAGTACAGTACCTTCTGAGACTGGTTTAGAGAGACTAGACTCACTTTGAAAACCAGACACTAGACACATATTTTGGTTTTTTCTAAGGGTCAGGTTATTATTTACAAGAATTAGATCAGTGTTTTTCAACCTTTGGGTTGTGAACCCAAATGCGATCACCATAAACTCATCTGAAATGTCTAGTTACTGATAGAAAAAACATTGATAAAAATGATTCTTCTCTAAAATTAAAATGATTAAAAACACCACACACAATCGTAAACAAATTCTTTCACTTCAATGAATAATAAATGTAGCGCATTCAAATATCTGAGCCAGTTACAGCTACTTAAATGTCTGTGGGGGTCGCCAGAAATTTGTGATGGGGTCGCAAGCCAAAAAAGGTCGGGAACAAGAACAAGAACAAACACACACGCATACACATGGACTGAAGGCGATATTACGAGAACAGGGAATCGATACCATAGGGTCAAAGTTTGTTGATGTGGATCTCCACACAATATGACATCATGTTAAACCGGACAATTAAAAAACAATAAACACATTCAGCTCTTTGAAATTCATGACCAGAACTGTGATATCAACATGATAACAAAATCTAGGATGACACCTCATGAAGGTGTGTCAACAAGCCATAAAAGCGGTTGTAGACATTAGAACCATTTAATAAAGGTGCTGTAAAAGGTTATCGTCCAATTATTCTTTAACCAATCCATCAAATTCCCCGGACGATGATTGTGGTTCAAACTGAAAAGAAAAATACCATAAAACCAACGATTAGGTGTTAGATAATCTACCTGGAGCATCTTTATGTTTATGTCTTATATAGTTATTACCTGTATAATATTCAGTGTAGCCAGGTTTATTGTAGTGTTTTGTTTCCTCAACTTCATCCAACTGTTATCAGGGTATGACTGATACAAATACTATGAGTGATGCCTAAGGTTAAGGAGAAAAATGATTAGCTCATCAGAAAGCATGTCGTAGGTGGTTTTGTCCGGACAAAGGAATTTCACCACAGTGTTTCTTAACAAACTTGCTTGCACTCACTTTACTGCAAAAGGTACTGTTCAGCTGACGGCGTCCTTGCAGCTGAACACGTCAAAATAATCTGGTGGTGATTAATCTATGGAAACCCAGGCGTACTTAAAACACAAAGGTGTATCGATTTAGTCCATTCTACAGTCTAAGCAGCTGATTTATCTTCGTAGATACGCACAGAATGCAATAAAGTAGTTCAATACTGTATTGTGCATTTTCTATTGGAGTAGTACTGCTATACAAAAAAAAGTTACAATTTAAGTACAATGATGATAAGGAAATGTAGTTTTGCAGTCAGTACAGATACCTTTGGTTCTGTCCACTCGAAGAGGTCTAATACGGAAATGTTCGTGTATGAGGTTTGGTTGTCCACTGGTTTGTCCATTTTGTGTTCACGTGAGAGCTGCAGCAGTTGCCTGTGTAGTCAGTGGGAGACGGAATTTGAAAATAAGAATTGTAACGATTGAAATTGCCTCAATTAAATATTTAAAAAGTTAAAATTACAATTCTAATTGCGCAACTCTAAACAAAAGGAAAGGATGTTGTCTTGAACTTTTTTTAAGGATTTAATTTCAACATGCTGTTTTAGTCTGGTAAAATGTATGGAACCACACTATGGTGTGTTCTTTCACACACTCTACTCTAAGCTGTGACGGTGTGATATAGGTGGGCTTGCGAGCGATTGTCACTTTGGCCTGGTCAGAAATAAGAGACACTGCAGTAGCAGATGTTTGAGCTAGAACCGCCTTTGCGATTTTTAAAAAAAAAAATGAACTAAGTGGATTAACGCTCATGCGAGTCGGACACTCGAGAAGGGCGTCTAAATCGACCTGATCGGCGTTGAACTGAAGACGTACGTTGTTTTTTGAACCTTCACTGTATTATTCCGTTTTTTTTTTTTTCATCTCCGCTCCGACGGTGTTTTCCATCATGTGTCAGACTTTAGGACGTGGGGCAGATAAATGAAGCAGAACTCAGAAGTGTAGGTCAGAACAATATTATGAAGTTCATGTCAAATAGAACTCCAAATAACGCAACACCGTGTGGCTTCTCTTTCCTGCGGCTGCGCCAGACACGATAAGAGACGGGAAAGAAAGGTCCGGGCGGTCGCTGTTGTTTTAAAAGAGTGGTTTCCTCAGGCAGGATCTCAGGTGAGAAAGGTCAGAGGTCGGACAGCAGGATTCTGCACTGCCGCCGCGGGTGAGGATCAGGGCTGGGGTTAACAGCACTGTTTGGAGCTGGTGGAAAACTGCAGGAGCATGACATCATCTTAGAACCGGCTGGATTGGAATGGAATGGAAAGAAAACGGAAATCTCCTCCTACACGGAGAAAGCGGAGGGATTTGAAAGAGGAACGCTGGGTGCAGGGAATTGTTCCGATGGAGTAAACAGCGGG